GATCTTAAGATGAATAGCTTGGAGGAAAGACGAGACAGGGGGATATGATAGAAATATTTAAATACATAAAGGGAATCAACACAGTAAAGGAAGAGACCATATTTAAAAGAAGAAAAACTACCACATCAAGAGGACATAGTCTTAAATTAGAGGGGCAAAGGTTTAAAAATAATATCAGGAATTATTACTTTACTGAGAGGGTAGTGGATGCATGGAATAGCCTTCCAGCTGAAGTGGTAGAGGTTAACACAGTGAGGGAGTTTAAGCATGTGTGGGATAGGCATAAGGCTATCCTAACTATAAAATAAGGCCAGGGACTAATGAAACCATTTAGAAAATTGGGCAGACTATATGGGCCGAATGGTTCTTATCTGCCGTCGCATTCTATGTTTCTATGAAACTGGTTTGTTTTCCTGGTGCTATAGGATCCCTTTAAGCTAGAATTTCCCACTGTCCTGCCAAGCTCTACCTCTACCAAGAGTTGGGAGTTATGTATAATATACATTATATTTATGTCATTATAAGCACACAGAAATAATGATGCATACATACCAAAAACAAGGGCAGGGGGCTGCACACAGGAGGGGTTGAACAGAGGGGGAAGGGGTTGCAGTGCTGCACACAGGGGGCTGCACAGGGGGTGGGGAAGGGGTTGCAGTGCTGCACACAGGGGGGAAATGGCTGTACACAGGGGGAAGGATTTTAACACACAGGGGGGAAGGGGCTGCACACTGGGGGGACATACACACAGACACACATACACGCAGAGACACATACATACAGACAGACACATACACACAGGCACAAACAGACAGACACATACACTAACACACACACATGCAAAATGTTTAAGTCACTCTCCTAGTACCTACCTATTAGGTGCAACGCATGGCGGCGGGTATACGGACGCAGGGGTCCGCAGGGCGGCAGGACCCCTGGAGTGACGGGCCCGGTCGCAGCTGTGACCCCTGTGACCGTGTTATGTATGCCACTGGGTGTGGGTAGGGCTGCTTAAACAAAAAGCATAGTTGCCAACTGTCCCGTTTGTGCTAGGACAGTCCCGGCAAGCTGGAGTTTGTCCTAGGAAATTTAGTCACAGGGCTATGTGCTTTTATTATTTTCCCTCGGACTGTTACAGTCCAAGGGAATTCAGGAGAGAGATGCTGGGGGCTAGATAGAGATGCTAGAGGGCTGTAAAAAGCTGCTGGGGGCTAGATAGAGGTGTTGGGGGGCTCTAGAGAGCTGCTTAGGGTTGCTGGGGGCACTGAGAGTTGGTTTCACCGACACACAGGCTCCTGCTCTGCCTCGCGGATGCAGGCTCCGTCCCCCATTGTAAGCTCCACCCACACACACAAGCCTTACCTCTCAACATCTCCCACCATGTCTGTAGTGAACTTATGTGTCAGTGAGATTGTCTGTAGTGAGCTTGTGACAATTCACCACCACCAGCACCCCTCACACACACACAGCACCCCTGACTCAAAGCACCCCAGCGCACACACATCACCTTCACATACATACACAGCACCTCTCACACACACAGTACCAGTCACACACACAGCACCCGTCACACACACACTGCACCCTCATGCACATACAGCACCCCCCACGCACACACAGCACCCACCACACACTGCACCCCTGACACACACAGCACCCTCAAACACAGCACCTCTGACACACATGCACAGCACCCCTCACACAGAAACATAGAAACAGAAACATAGAATGTGACGGCAGATAAGAACCATTCGGCCCATCTAGTCTGCCCAATTTTCTAAATACTTTCATTAGTCCCTAGTCTTATATTATAGTTAGGATAGCCTTATGCCTATCCCACGCATGCTTAAACTCCTTTACTGTGTTAACCTCTACCACTTCAGCTGGAAGGCTATTCCATTCATCCACTACCCTCTCAGTAAAGTAATACTTCCTGATATTATTTTTAAACCTTTGTCCCTCTAATTTAAGACTATGTCCTCTTGTTGTGGTAGTTTTTCTTCTTTTAAATATAGTCTCCTCCTTTACTGTGTTGATTCCCTTTATGTATTTAAATGTTTCTATCATATCTCCCCTGTCTCGTCTTTCCTCCAAGCTATACATGTTAAGTTCCTTTAACCTTTCCTGGTAAGTTTTATCCTGCAATCCATGAACCAGTTTAGTAGCCCTTCTCTGAACTCTCTCTAAGGTATCAATATCCTTCTGAAGATATGGTCTCCAATATTGCGTACAATACTCCAAGTGAGGTCTCACCAGTGTTCTGTACAATGGCATGAGCACTTCCCTCTTTCTACTGCTAATACCTCTCCCTTGTATGTATGTACGTAGTGGGGAATTGCAATGCAGCCTAGAACAAAAACTAACCCCATTCAACCCCCCAATAATGACAGACCACTTAGTATGGATGAACAGGCCACAGCATTTATTATCACAAACTAAATTTACTGCATAACACATCCATAACTTTATTTATTAAATCTCTTCTTTTTCTGTAACCAAAACGTTAGACATAAATAAGCATAAATTTACATATATACATATATAACTCCACACATAGTGTTATACAGTGACCCAACCATCCTTGCTAATAAACATACAGTGGTTCCTAATCACCACTTCCTCTCACCTCCCCCCTCGTCATAAAAATCATATCTTTCCAATGCCCGCCATCAGCCGACCTTATCCACGCTCGATGGGCACGACACCTCAGGCAACCTAATGTTAACCGTTTGAAGCAGGGGAGGTTGAGACCTAAAAAAACTTGTTCATCTCATTCCTTATACTCAAACGTAACCCCTCAAACTCAATTGGCAAGGACATACCCCCGGCTAGCTGTGACTAAATATACTAATAGGGCGGGCGGGAGGGAAGCTTTTTGCTGGCCCGAATCCCAAGTGGCACTGAGGTAAGACCTCCCCCACACTAACTTACACTGCACATAATCCCACCCACACACTCTTTCCCACCCAATACCATGTATCTATCCCCACACTCCTACATGTTCCCTATCTCCCCAGGGCCTATACAACCAAGCATTCTGCTAGCATTTCCTGCTGCTCTATTTCATTGTCTGCCTACCTTTAAGTCATCAGAAATAATCACCCCTAAATCCCTTTCCTCATATTCCTCAATATCAAATGCTAAAGCTCACTCTCGCGAGATTTGGAGCGTTGCTGTGATAACCACGGCAACGCTCCGAGCTCACAAGAGGGGAACCCAGGGGAGCTGCAGGTTAGAGCTCCCCCGGGTCCTCTCTCTCTCCCTCGCTCCCCTGCCGGCTGTCAGAAAAGTGCTAGCGGGCCGGAGAGGGAGATCTCTGATCTCCCCTCTGGTCCTGCAGAGCCGGCAGAGGAGAGCACAGTTTCCGGTGCTATCATCATAGCACTGGGAAAATAACTTGCTGTTCCTCTGTTTGCTCATTGCGGCGCCCCAGGGCACTGATTTAGACAAAATATGTGAAGCTTATTGTACATATGGGGGTTTAATATGGTGGAAGTACAATGAGAAGTTACTGAAACGATTGTCAGCTAATCCATGTATGCGGCGGGACCAAAGGGACCTTCCGTTATGGATGAAGATCATGATGGTGCAGATAGCGGCGTCCATTCAGTCCCGGGTATTTGGTACAATTTGGTATTAAGTTTTTCTGTTGGTTATGCCTCTGCAGCTTGTTTGCTGTGTCCAGAAAACTAACGGTACTTTCATGAGAAGTATCATGTTTCTTCCCTTCTAGAGGTTCAATGTTCATGTTGTGAATAAACCCTCTTTACAGGTTTATTTAAAGGACCACTATAGTGCCAGGAAAACATACTTGTTTTCCTGGCACTATAGTGCCCTGAGGGTGCCCCCACACTCAGGGACCCCCTCCCGCCGGGCTCTGGGGGGGAGGAAGGGGTTAAACTTACCTCTTTTTCCAGCGCCGGGCGGGGAGCTCTCCTCCTCCTCTCCGCCTTCTCTCCAACTCTTCGGCTGAATGCGCATGCGCGGCATTCTCAATGCTTTAATATGGGCGCTGGCGTCTTCTCACTGTTAAAATCACAGTGAGAAGCGTGGAAGTCCTCTAGCAGCTGTCAATGAGACAGCCACTAGAGGCTGGATTAACCCATTTATAAACATAGCAGTTTCTCTGAAACTGCTATGTTTATAGAAAAAAGGGTTAAACCTAGCTGGACCTGGCACCCAGACCACTTCATTAAGCTGAAGTGGTCTGGGTGCCTATAGTGATCCTTTATTAAAATGCATTCAAAGACTATTTCAAATTTAAGGTCAGAGTATCCTAACCGAAAGCAAAGGGAATTTCTTCTCAAGTTTGGCTATTTTGACATTGCATTATTATGAGTTTTTAAGTTGTTTATGCCTCAGCAACTTTTTTGTTGTGTTTAGAAAACTCAAGGTACTTTCACAGAGAAGTCTTATGTTTCTACTCTTCTGGAATTCAAAGGGACGCTATAGGCACCCAAATCACTACAACTCAGCGTTAACTAACTGCAATAATTACCTTTATGGGTTAACTCCACCTCTAGTGACTGTCTACCAGACAGCCACTAGAGGGACTTCAAGGTCGTTAGGGGACTTTTGGTTGCTCAACTTCACGTATGAGGACATCCAGTGTCACTCGAAACCCCATAGGAAGGCATTGTATAATGCTTTCCTATGGGGCTGTTCTAATGCTGTGCATTAGGTCTCCCCCCTGGTAACCTTAGCAGAGGAGGAGCAAAGGCGGACCTGGTCCCTGAGCCAGCGCCAAGGGACATTGAAGCTGGACTCAGGTAAGTGACAGAAGGGGTTTTTACCCACATGGGGGGGAAGGGAGGGGGGAGGAAAGAGCAGTATGGAGAGCTATAGTGCCAGGAAGACAACTTGGTGTGGAAGACAGACCAGAGGTGAATGTTACAGGAAGAGTAATACCCACAAAGCTCTGAAGTTGGCATAGCTGGAACGGAGGTGAGGTGAGTAAATCTCTATACGTTACATTGAAAACATCGTTATCTTTGTAATTTATGATGCATTCAATGTATATGGGGTGATTTAAGGCAAGTTACATTTTCCATTACAGGTTATTTAATCTTAGAGCTATAAGCACTGAAAGTGACAGACAGTGAATAACTATCTGTAAGGATCCACGTCTTGTTTGTGTGTGTTTAGTTTTTCAGTCGTGTCCGACTCTCCGTGACCATGTGGACCATAGCACGCCATGTACATTTGTCAGTCACTGCCCCACTGAGCTCCAACAACTTCATGTTCGTGGCTTCAGTGACCTCATCTATCCATCTCTGTC